TCACCCAATGGTTGACTGGTAGAGAATGCCTTAGGCGTTGAGTCCGCCAATGCACCAAATGTGCGTGATATGTAAATAAATAAATAAATTATGTTTATACAAATTTACAAAATGTCATACTCTAGTAGTAGAATATTTCGGTAAGCTTAACTATGCAGACACAGAAAACATATTAGCAATTTTAAAATGGTATAAGTTTAACTACAACAACTACACGGATGGTGTAGAGGTTTAAGCGGTCGCCACGCCGCTTCCTATAACGCCGAGTGTTGTGGGTTCAAATCCCACATGGGACAACACTTTGTGTGATCCACAAATTGTTGTTCTGAGTCTGGGTGTACTTTGTGTCCGTTTCATGTATGTTCGTAAAACCCCCGCGACCCAGGATTTATTCCTAGTGCGGGAGTTGTCTTTTTGAAAAAAAGATTAAAAAAAAAAAAGTTATTAAACAATAATTAATAAATATTTCCGTATACAAACTAGTGGTCCGTGTGGTGACGGATTAAGAATACGGAGTGTCACCACCCCTATTCTTCCCGTGGGTGTCGTAACAGCCGACTAAGGGAGCAAACTACGCAGGAGAACAGCAGTGCAGAGAGAAAGAAAACTTGAAACAAACCCTTTTTTTTTTTTTTAACGTGTGGAAATCCCCTCTGACCGTCACCCCACCGGGTTTTTTTTTTTTTTTTTTTTTTTTTTTTTTAATTCGCTTTTCCCCAGTCAAGAATACACCGGGACCTTATATATCTTATAGCTATTGTTATTCTATATTCTAATTTACACTATACCCCTTGTGGGATTATACATATTTTTACTGGTTATATTTTACTACAGATGTTTTTACTGGTTATATTTTACTACAGATATTTTTACTGGTTATATTTTACTATACATATTTTTACTATACCTATTTTAATTATACATAATTTTACTGTACATGTTTTACTATACATATTTTTAATATATATATTTACTTACATATATTTTACTGTACATATTTTATTATGCATATTTTTACTATAAATACTATATATATTTACTATACATATTTTACTACATATATTTTTATTGTGCATATGTATTTTACTATACATATTTTAACTATATCTATTTTTATTATACATAATTTTACTGTACATGTTTTACTATACATATTTTACTATACGTATTTTTAATATTTATATTTACTTTACATATATTTTTACTATACATATTTTACTATATATATTTTTATTATGCATATTTTCCGTATTAATACTATACAGCTATTTGAAATATTTATTTTTCAGTCATTACATGGCGTGACTTATTGGCTGAGCTTACAACTTATACATATATTTCTTACATTTATATCATACATATTTTTTCTATTCTATCTTTATTCCATTTGTCTTACATTGGTATAACTCTTAAAACGTGATCTAGCTTTTAGCAAGTACACAGTTCTATTTATTTACATCTATTTTGGAGTCTTATAACAGGTTATGTTTTACTTATCTTTTCTATGTTCTTTAGTTACACAATAGTTATGCTTTATTTTATTTGTTCGGTTATTATATATTAGTTATTCGTGGTTCTCAACATTTACTGCAGGATTTGTGAATTTTGTCATGTTGTGTATTATCTAGCAATTTATATATATTTATGCATATCTCTATCAGACAATAATGTATATATATTTATAATATATACTCATTGGCCATTTCCTACGCTGGTATCCATTTTATACTTTTTATGTTCGTGTAAGCGTTTCGATATATTCCTGTATATTTATTATACATTTTGTATATCGATTTGTGTATTTGTATCTGTGTGTCGTGTTGTGTTTTATGTTTGTGTATGTCGTGTTTTTGTATCTGTGTGTCGTGTTGTATTTCGTGTTTGTGTATGTCGTGTTTCTGTTTCTGTGTGTTTTCGTGAGTGTACCCCACCGGGGTTTGCGGCGGGGTGGTGTGTCGGATTCGGACCGACTAAAACCACACGGTGTGCCACTCTGCGCCTGTAATAGGAGGGATCCGGGAACAGCTGTTACTTGAAACAAACCCTATACCAACCCGTCTGGTCAGCGTGGTGTAGTTGGCCAAAGCCTTTTTTCTAAGGAGAGACCTATGTCCAGCAGTGGACTACTACAGGCTGTTGATGTGATGATGTGTGATGTGATACAAACTAGTCTTAATTAATCAACCTACATTATTAATCTTTTAGAACTTTAAAATATTTAAATTCCTTCTATATAACATCATAGCTAAGCGACTGCCTGAAATACAGGTATTTACACCTAACTGTGGCCAAGAAAAGTAATATTTTATATACTTATGTAGATTTTGTACCAGGAACCATCTCGGGTGTGATAGGGGTGATACCTAGAACACCCTACCAAAGTTTTATCACAATCTGATTAATGCTTTGGGAAGGTATGGAGGGCAAACATACCAATATTGATTTTTATTTAAATTCATAGATAATAACTCTGCTGTAGGTCCTACAGTGTTTCTTATGGTTTTTTATTTTATTTCATTTCAAAGGTTTTCCCACGATTTTGCTTACAAATACAATATACTTACTTGCCAATTACCAACCAACAATCGCTAAGGTGTAAAACAAGGTGTCCAAATCGTAGTATATAACCTAACCAGTAACACAACTGCATTTTAACTACCTATATAGGAAAAAAAAAAGTTTATAGCGGTTAGTTTTTATTTCCTTCGATGATGAAGACAAGATGGCAGAAATTTACTTAAAAGGAACGTTAGTTACTCAGAGTTATTTTGGATATTAAACTAAATTTTATCAGCCTTTATCCTCATATTAACATGATGATATATGATAAATGATTTAGGGGTCAAACGAGCACGCGGGTTAACTGATGGTAAGTATGATCCCCCTTTTTAGAATCAGGATGGTGGTTGAGCTCCTGTAACCTAACTCACTCGACGAAAAGTAACGAAAAAAACTGGTACTCCGGGAGTGCCGACAGAAGTAAATACTTATATACTGAGGTGTCGGTAACGGTAACATGTCGCGAGTTCAATGGGTTATTGTTTCATCTCAAAGCCATAAAATAAAACACATTATTTTGTGTATTGTTCAATAATGCCCAACGCGCCAATGCCCAAAAACAACTTAAATGTAACGCCGTGGCTTAGTCGATTCGCCAGATTTGTGCCAAAGTATGTCTCTCTCATGGCTATTTACCTACATCTATATAATATATGTAAATACCTACATTTATTTTCTTTTTATAACGACTTATTAGTCTACTGGCCTGTTGGTCTAGTGGTTAGTGACCCTGACTGCTAATCCGAACGTCGTGGTTTCGATTCCCACCCAGAACAAATATTGTGTGATGAGCACGGTCATTTGTTCTGTGTCTGGGTGTAATTTATCTATAATATGTATGTATTTAAAATAAATAAGTATGTTTTTCAGCAGTCTGGTTACCATAGTACAGGCTCTGTCTGGTTTGGGATCAGACGGCCGTGTGGGTGATGTGTCAAGTAACTTTTATTATAATCAGGTAAGTTAATCTCAATAGGTATGTAAGTTACTCTAAAATCTTTATAAAGATCGGTCTGTTAAACTGTAATTTTAATGCTTTTAAACGTTATAGTGTAAACGCTTAAAAGGTCTTCCATTATAGACTACTAAGTAAAAATTTGTCCGACAATAATTACCAGAAAGCTATTTAATAATCTTGGTTTCAATATATTTCAAATACCTACACAATTTATCACAATTTTACAAATGTATCATCATCATCAACAGCCTTTAACAGTCCACTGCTGAACATAGGCCTCTCCTTAGAAAGGAGGTTTTGGCCCACTATACCACGCTGGCCAAACGGGTTGGTATAGGGTTTGTGTCAAATTTTCCTTCTCTTTTTGCAGTATTGTTGTCCTGCGTAGTTTGCTCCCTTAGTCGGCTCTTACGACACCCACGGGATGATTGGGGGTGGTGACAATCCGTATTCTTAATCCGTCACCACACGGTTAAATGTATAACTGCAGAATATTCATCTAATAAACGAAATTTCTAACTTTGTTACTTTCAACTAGTGCCCATAGCTTCGCTCGCATGATTACCTATCTCTTATTTCTTTCTTGTTTCGTGTAACTTTGAAAATTATGAACTTCCATACAACCGTTAATCCCATATTTTAAGCCCTTGCCCCTCCTAATTTCCTAAAACCCTTTCTTGGTGGGTGCTTACAACATAAAAAGCATATGCTTCCTAAATTTCAAGTTTGTGGCCCGGTTTAGGCTCTGCGTTACTGAATCTGTCAGTGAGGGCAAGTTATATTAAATATATATAGATTTAAAGATATTTATATAGTCTATTGAATCCTAAGTTGTCTGATATGTTTTACACAAATATGTAAAAAGCCTATTCCAAAAATGTTAAAGTTAAAACATTAACAAGCAGGCTCAATAGACTAAATACTCGTAAACTCATTCAGTGTTCACCCATGTATCTTAATTTAATTAATTATTTCACATTATTACTTAGTGTAAACCTCCTTTCTAAGGAAATACCTATGTCCAGCAGTGGACTATTAGAGGCTGTTGATGATAATGACTTAGTATCGCATTTGAGGTACCGTAAACGTTTTATGTATGTTTTTATGTTTAAATGTAGGGTTAGGTATGTAGGTGGGTGCGTAAAAAAGGGCGACGCATGCGGGAACCCTTGTTTCTTTAGTTAAGTACTAAATTAAAATCTATTATTTAACGATAAAATTCGTTTGGATAAAAGTTATGTTGATAAGCATGTAAATGTGTGTAGTAGTATTTTATCATTATTTTAAAAGTCAAAGATTGAATCAAAACTATGAATGGTCGGAGATTGACTGTCTCCGTTACAAAGTTTTCACATTAGACACTTTTACGTACGACTATCCTAGAGATGACAGCGCATGCGCCCTCCTCCCAACAACACACTTGTTATTAATAGAAAGGTTTTAGTTACTATTATTATGATATAAACAGTGGTAATTTTCAGTGATGATCGAGTCGAAGAAGCTTAAAAATACAAAATCATTCTTAAGAGGGTGCTGAAAACATACACAGGTAAGAATAAGATGCGGACCCGTTAGGCAAGTTACGCTTTCGTTGTAAGAGGAATTTAGAAATGTTGATTAGTTAGCTATAGAACAGGAGTTCGGAGATAGGAGAGCTCTGGTGTGACAGCGACAAGGAACGTACGACCGAGTGTGTGGCGGCGCGCGCGTGTAGTGGCGCGACGTGGCGCGGTGTGGTGCGGCGCGGCGCAGCATCACGCCGGTACCGCTGGTGGTGCTCACGCACACAGGCACGCAGCGGGAGGCGACCAGCTCCTCCGGCGCTGATCCCCATTGGCGCGCCCTAAGTGGGCAGACCGCCACGCCCCGGCGTCGGCCCTGCTCGCTCGTGCCGCGCCAGTGTCCGCCAGACTGCCGAGCGCGCCGGGCCTCCCGCTTCCCCGCGCCTCGCTCGGCCACGCCGCGTCCCGTGATCGAACCATACAAAACCTCTAGTTTACATCCGTCGCGAGTGCATTATGACACTAGTGAGCTAGCGGGCCGCTGTGACGGTGTCAAATAATTGATGTGTATGTGTTCACGTGCTTGTGTGTTGTGTTAGGTTGGGCCCGTGACGAAAACGTTCGTGGTGGCCAGCGGAGCCTTGCACCCGGGCTCGGGCCGAGCTTTCATGGCTCAGCCTAGGGTATGTACACTGTTCATCAGTTACGAACATCATCGCACACTTATGCGTTATGCAGTAGGGCTCCTACCGTTGCAGTACAGTCGAAGGCCTAGGCGACAATTCAGAGATAATTATTGAGTAACTTGATAACGCTCCTTAGAACGTAATTTATATTAGGAAACTTCAATAATTTCAACATAAAACCTAACAGAGGTGATAACTAATTTGGGTACATAAAAACTGAGTCGAATCACGATTATCACATATGACAAAGGTTGTTAGAGGTTTATTAAGGTACATTAGTGATGTTACAGCAGCAGGGAAGTTGTTCTAACAAGTAAAACGCGTTCGGAATACGTAATACCAGTTCGGAGCGTATTGTAACCACCGACGCATTACCGGTGATAATGAAAACGAAATGAATGCATTATGAACGTGAAACACTCTGTGATAATGTAATCATGGCAGTATCTCGCACTCGTACCAGTTTAGACGCGTATGATTGAGCGATTGTACATCGGTTTAAAGGATTTTGGCCAGTGACGTCTACCTAAAATGTAGACACAGTCACGAGAATAAATCCAATCGTTGAATAAATGAATACATATCCATATTTTGGCCACCTGACGGAATACCAGCTTTGCTTAATCGGGACAATAAATGGGATAGAATGGCATACAGCGGGGCGTCTATTGTTGAATGCTCTCTTACGGGCGATGGGGACGGTACACAGTGGAGTCTGTGGAGTTACAAGCGGCTTTAAACGCACAGTTTGACACAAAAGAGTATCTTAGAAACCGACAATAAAATTCAATTGACAATGAAAAGAAAAAACTTTTTTTTTGGTACCACAAAGATGTGCCCCTAACGGAATTCGTGGGGACAGCTTTCTAAAGATTTAGGGTTGTATTGTTTTTGGTGTGAGTAATATAAAAGTTTTAATCCTTCATTGTTCGACAACGGTATTATTAAATAGTGAAAAAATAAATAAGTACAAACCCATTAAAGTTTCAAATAAAAGCTTTATATTAGGTATAATCTTAGGACGTAGAACAATGACTTATAAAATGTTGTTTATTCTTGTAGTAACAAATGGCGCGATGCGCGGTGTGAATATGAAATTAATTGCATTTACAATGAAACAAATATTGCACAAATGTGTTTTAGACTCGCAAATCTTTTTTTTTTTCTTAAAAATCGTATTTAAATGTAAAATAATGAGGTCGAATCAATTACGTTAGTTTTTTTTTAGTAATAAAAGGAAAGGAACTGGAAAATTGTTTTAGAGTTTTTCCGTCGGTTGCTTCTTTATCTATCTCATTTTGAAGTTTGAGTAATAAATATAGAATTGTAATGAAATAAAAATGCTGTTTGGGTGATAAATATATGATATTTAGAGGTTATGTTAAGAAAATAAAACAAGCTTGGGTTCTATTAGAGTTTTCTTTTTTTGTTAACTTCCTGTGAATCAACACTACCTACAATTAAAAATAGTATTACGTTTAAACCAGTCATTTTTTGCATATTTTAATTAGTATTCTTTTGCGGTGACTTTGTAGTAAATTTAATGATTAGATTTAGGTATAGTTTAGGTTATAAACAAATTCATTTGTAGTATATTAATATAGGTATAGTAAAAAACGTGTTTAAATAAATACAAAACCCACCTCCTCTTAAATACCGTTTCAATTAAAAAAATAAAATGGTCGAGCAAAAGCCGTTTAAAATTTGTTCCACTTTTTAAGTTTTACTTTTTTTGATTTTAGTTTAAATAATTAACAGGTTATAAGTAAGTTAGCTGCTGGCTGGAATCTAATTTTGTAGCTCTAACCAAGCTTTTAACCTTGTTTTTCTGACAATAAGTGCCTTTTTTGTTTGATTATTTGCTGCAGCGTTATTTGAGCAGCAATACGATATAACTCAAACTTTGTACAGAATTTTGTACACTTTAAGCATTTACAAAGGCAGTTATAAATTCCAATATATTTGGATAAACGCATGTTTAATTGGAATCACTCAAACGGCTTTCAAAGCCGTATTTATATAGTAAACTATTATACTATATTCTACCAAAACTTTTTACATTAGCCTAGTTTTCTCGGTACACGATCACCATTAATTTTGAGATCGTGTTATTTCGAATACTCACTACGATTGTCGTTTATAGATCATATCTTGTATTATATGAGAGATTAAACTACAGTTTTATCTAAAAGAACAAATTGTGTAGGTATATTACAATACAATATACTCTTACGTTTTTTATCCCCGAAGGGGGACTACAATTTAGTTCTACAACCGGGTGCATATGTTTCTAAATACACACATAGATAAATTACACCCAGACATAGAACAAATTATAGTGCTCATCACATAATGTTTGTCCTAAGTGGGAATCGAGCCCACGGCCTCTAATTTAGCAGTCAGGGTCACTTACCACTTGGTAGGTAGGACATTTTTTGTATTTTGACACGGCAAATGCAATTCCTTGTTTTTATTTCAACTTTAATTTATCTACTTAGTCTAAATGTAACATTGTTAGCCAAGCGTAAAACCATAAAGTTTTATTATATAATATTTTCCTGTTCAAAATATCTAAATATAAGCCTATTTACAGTCGTACATAAAAGCCTGTAAGAGATAAATACAATTGTTAATGGTTATCGTACAATCTTTACACACATTACTTTCTCATTTAAACCAAATCTCTTAACTCTTGTCTATTCTTTAAATACAATAAACTAAACATATATATATATATAATATCTTTGAACACAATCTATATTATGGTAGAACACGTACCATATAAAGATAATATCACGCCGAGCGTATATGCAGATTGAGCGTTAATATATTATTTATACTTAAATTGAACAACTACATATTATAAATAAATATGATGGAAATTTACATAAATTTTAATTTAAATAGCTGTAGTAGTAAATACGATAAAACGTTTACACACTAAGGATAAACAATAGTTATACTTGCATAGATTAAAAATTCTTACTTCAAGTAGGAATTGACGTAATAAATAAAAAATATATTAAAATTTGATAAAGTGTAATTAGCATGCCGTTGAATTAAGTTAGGTAAAAAATTTAGTAGTTTTGAACAATTTTGCACATTTATTTAAAGATCAGATAGAGCCTTTTTTGTTCTCACAACCAGATATGAATCACCGACGGGAAAGATAACTACAATAATGAAATCTTCACTGCGATTATAATAATTTGTCTAGTATTTTTGTCTATGCTAATACTGAGTATTCACGGTATTCCCTCTATTTATTCATACGTACATTGACACTCGAGTTTAAGAACCTTAAAGTAAATTAATTAAAAGTAAACGTGGATTAAGGTGTTCTAGAAAAATATTATAAAAGCAAATGCAAAATTCTATGCAAACCATAAAGTATTAACAAAACTTTTAATTCTAACAAAATATCGCTAACTATAACTTTAAATCATAATAAAGCTTACCAATAATTAAAAATGTTCTCATAAAAGAGAACGCATACGACAATAAACAGTAACTATATTATTATTTTTTACTTTTAAATGATTTGCAAACGTTATAATGTCATAAACTTAGGCGATAGAAATAATTTATCTTTTAAAAATATTTGCGACTTCAATGAGCCTACATAGGTATATTTATTTCGTTAACTCACAGCATTTATATGTAAAATTTATGGTAAAATTTATGTAAGAAGGTTTTAATATACGTGCTACTTACGAGGTAACACACAGCATTAACAGTTTAGACAATATATTAAAACAAAACCATATTGTTATATAGATTTAACAAACATGGCGTAACATTTTATTAATCTAATGAGTTTAGTAGTTGTGTTAACGATTAGTACGTACTTAAATTTCAAAATTTAGTTTCAATTTCAAGGTTTGCCAAATGACTTCAGTATTTTTACACGAAACTGGTTCTTTCTGTCATCATACATGACAGTTTCAGGCACAGTCTAGAAGAACGAATTCAAATTCCTATACATTTTACTTAAGGTTGGGTCTAGACCAAGGTTAGTTTTGGATAAGTAATAAACTGTACTTATCATTACTTAATTTTTATTTTCGGGTGAATTTTTTTCTTCAAATTTGAATGGGAAGTAAGCCTACCTAAAGAATTTTCCACATCGGGTCACAAATAACGGAGTTCTGAGGCAACAAACATTAAAAATACATACACCTGAATTAAGAATTTCCTTTTTCGAAGTTGGCTAAAAAAAATTGGTGTAATATAACAGAAATTAATTCGCAGGTTATACCTTAATGATATTTGCAGAAGACTTGTCGGTCAATTGTGGCGAGTACCGTAAATTTTACGATACATCGATAAGGATATCAATTTGTCTCCTAATAGTAAGTTATAATCAGTGATAATGGTGCTTTTCGACAGTGGCCCACTAAATAACCTGATAACATGTGTACCGGGTACGCTGTGTTGACTTATTTCTGCTGCTATACGTGTATCTGTGTATATCTACGCGATATGATTAACGTAAAGTCCCTTGTGTGATAGAATTTAATAAATATATAAATAACATGTTTAAAATTGTGTCTTGTGTTGTTTGTGGTCCCGCTAGGTTGACATACACATAAACAAATGTAAAAATGACATCTAGCAATGATTTTAAAATTGTTTTTAAGTTTCGTTTAGTTTTCAAGGAATGTTAAGTATATTGCCGCACAACACTAGCTTACTTACATACTATCCAAGGGTAGGTACAAGTTTTAGTGGTCAATTTGTGAAAAAAAATTGTCACCAATATGGCCGACAAAGTTTAATATGAGCTGACGCTTCTTCTTACTACTCTGTGGATACGACACAATCATAGCACATGTATTGATTTAAAAACACTAATAACATGCTACCAACCATGAGATATATAATATCCAAAATATTTTAAATTAACAAAATGTAACAAAGAAAAAAAAGTGTAGTCAAATTTCTTGCCAGACGAAAGAAATACTCAAACGGCCATCTTAAACGCAATAAAAGCGGTAAAATAAAAAATATATATTTACGTCATTGTTGACCAATCTACCAACGCTCGGAGGGATGTAAAAACAGTTACGATCCATAAAAATTTTGGCAAATATCATTAAAGTTTTGTAATTAAACTCGCAATATTTATTTTTTCAATGCAGCATAGTGAAAACATTTTCATTTTAAAGTTACAACAAACTTGAAACTGAAAAGATTAAACAGGTTAGGATGTTTCTAGTTCATGTAGATAGCTTCTGATTGTAAGAACAAGTTTGCATTTGGTTTATTGGACAATAATATTACCTAATGCGAGCACTATTGTAACACAGATTCATATATCTCATAGTATAATTGTAAAAACAGTATGAGAATCAAGTAATCCTTATTATAATTATTTTATTATCAGATTACTTATTTGCGCCATTGGTGAAAAAGTGAAAGCAACACTTATGCAAGAAAATAACTTTAAAGTTAATTTAGAAAAAATCATAATACCTAAAAGTGCGTTTGTCTTGTATCATTTAATTGACCGGTGTAACTTGAGCTGGTATTATATTTACTTTTGTACCACGACGGGTGAAGATATATACTGGACCAGTAGTTTTATATAGACCTTTTTACATAATTTTCAACTTTATTCCACATTTTGTTTCAAAAATTAGCTCTCTGCACTTCACTTACATAAACATCAAGTAATCAAAATACACATATTGTTTTCGTGAGTATTAATTGTTTAAAAATAATTACAAAGAAGTTTATTCACGCACTATATAGATTATAAAATAATGTGAAAACTTGATCGGTATTATTTAATTATATTAAAAATTACTAAAGTAAAAAAAGAAATCAAACACATTAATAACCTTTTGTGAGTCCGAATATATATTTTAAAAGGATTTACTTAAATAACTATTTTTAAATCCTAATAAACGTTCAGCATTATGTGTAGATAGACAAAAAAAAACAAATAAAAATAAATTAAATTTATTTAGTAATTTATATAACGATTATTCGATGACATTTAATTGTTTTCTTTTTCTAAAACTTTGGCGCCAACATACGGGCGTTACGGTCACTCCTAAAACATTAAAACACTTATTATTGGCACTTATTTCAACTGTAAAGATAACACCAGTATTGTATAGGCAATTCTGTTCACATTACGCGATAAAAAACGCTCGATTTTATGTTTAAAGTGTTGAAAAATGCCCTGCCATCGCACAAGGAATAAGATAACGGGCTAACATTTCTGTTTTTTTTTTAATTTTAAAACGCTGGCAACGACTGCGGTAAAGTTACGACGTTAAATATAGGAATAGATAGTAAAATATAATTGAGTGTTACCACTTATAATTACTTCTATACGTTTTAATGTTGCTATTATCCTTTTTCAAATGATAAGAATTACATCTGATCTGTAGAGTAGTTTTTTTATTAGGGATAACTTAGAGTTTAAATTTAAAAAAAAAGTTATTAGTGTCTGTTTGCGTATGTATTTATATTTGTTTTGTACTGTATTTATTTATTGTAATGTGTAATGTAAAATACTCTGTGTAATATGTATATAGTATGTCAGGTTTGTATATGTGATTTTCTATAAAGTAAATATTGCTAAATTTCTGTTTTAAAATTAATTAACTGTAACCATAATGCACCTACTTCCTATTTTCTCTGCATTACCCAATGGTTGACTGGTAGAGAATGCCTCAGGCATTAAGTCCGTCAATGCACTAAATGTGCTCGGTGTCAATAAATAAATAAATTTAAAAAAATAAAAAAAGTTCTTGTAGTAGGTATATTTAACTGTGTCATCTTAATCCTATATTATGATTATATTGCATTTGTGTGGGCCTATTGTCTTTCCAATAGATTCTGATCACAATATATAGAAAATACCAATGCCAATTTTCAAGCAGTAAAGTTATGAAGAAGCCAGTAGGTAATTCATGTATTAATTTATTTCGCTTAAATATGTCATAGATATTTCTTCAAATATAAATACAATTGATACAAAGGATTTGGTAATTTTATTATAAAAATATGTGGTACTTATTCACAGTTTACAACAAAGTCGTTTAATACGTCCGTCGGTGTAATTAACTCCTAAACAGAATGTTGGTTTGCACAATCATTTTGAAAATTTTTAAAGAAAGTTTATACATTATATTAAAACTTACCTATGTTTTTAAGTAGAAAAACAACAATCCTTTGCAACCAAAGAGCTGAAATTCAAATTACTTAGTTAGACTTAACCTTAAGAGGTAAGTAAGTAAAAATGATGTACTTACATTCGTAAAAAGCCGGGTCTCTAGTTGAATAATATTGGAGTAAAATCTATTAATTCAGTAGGTATATAGAATAATTTGCCTAAAACCTAAATAATTACAGCGACTGACGAGTGTTTAGTGATCCCGATGGGTAAGCCAACGGTTGTGGATGCGATTACCACCCA